CAAGCCGCTTTGGCACGTCCTTGAGCCCGAACTGGTGGATTAAACATATTTCTGGGCTGGGTCTGCAGTCCAGGGGTAAAACGGGCACAGACAGGAGACAGCCCAGAAACCCCAACTGAGACAGGACCCTGCGGAGGGGGCAGGACCTTTTCCTCCCGGTTCTGCCATTGAAGTAGACAAGACCCGTGCGAGCAGGAAAAGGGCTGAAAGCCTCCAACGGCATCATCATTGTTCAGGCACCCTGCGAGGTGCGGCCACACGCCTGCAGCTGGGAAAAGGAGGAAACCCAGCGCTCGCTGCGGAAGGGACGAACGGCAGCCGGTGCAGCTCATTGTCCCCTGGCTACAGAGGGGAGAAAGGACAGCAGTCACGCGGCATGGGGACAAAGGCACCGTCAGCTTCAGTTTGCCTGAACCTCAGATGATCACAAAAGCATAAGCACCGCGTGCAGGGAGAGGGCAGACGAGTGGTGCAACCACAGCCCTGGCACCAGCAGAGCTCCCTGGTGAGGAGCGAGCCACCCCGGCACACCACAGCACCCCACGAGGGCACGGGGCACCCACACGATGCTCTTGGGGCACCTTCCCAAGGTTATGGGGCCACACTGCTGCAGCTCCTGCCTTACCTTTGCTGCAGGGCAGAGTCCAGCAGCAGCTGCGGGCTGTATTTTTAGGTATTAATTAGACACTCAATTAAGGGGATTTGCTTTGGGGAGAGTGGCAGGGCCCCCAGGTCTGGATAGAATGACATGACCTTACCCGAGGTGACAGGCACGGCCACCAGCAGGGTGGGCTTTGCTGGTGAATGGCATCCCCAGATGCTCGGTCTGCAGCTCCGGAGCGGGGCCGTCCCCCACCACAGTGCTGTCTTTGTCTCTCCCCCCATTCTGGCAGAGGGGCCTCCACCCCTGCAGCAAACATGGCTGCTCTGGCACTGTGGCATCAGCCCCACAGGTCCTGCCGGGACGGGACATGCTCGGGGCTCTGTGGAGCGTTTGGAAGGGCTGGTGCAAGGAGGGCAGCACAGGAGCCCCGTGCTCCTGGCACAAGCACCAAGGGCACCGCAGGCGCTGCCCCACGCCCCAGTCAGGCTCTCGGGTTAGCCATGCTGAGGATACACTTGAGCCGATCTGAAATCCCACGTGCCAGCCAGCCGGAGCCAGGTTGCTGCGCCCGTCCCTGCTGCGCAGGGGCATCCTCCCTGCCGAGTCACTGAATTAGTCCTGAGCGATGATCGGGTCTGAGCCGCTGCAGCCTGGGGGGTCCCTTCGCCCCCCCAGCTCCGCAGGGAGGGTGCACAGCCATTCTTAACTGAGCATCCAGGCCTGACCGAAACGCGCCAAACCACGCGGCGTCATCGCTGTAGTGCCGCACATCCCCTGCCTGGGGCTCCGCCCGGAGCCATCAGCTCATCCCCTTCCCAGCCCTCCGAAGCTCAGCCCAGCTCCTGTCCTGCAGGCACAAGACTCCTGGAGAGGTCCCCTGGAATTTAAAGACGTGTTTCTGTTCTTTCTTTAACCAAGCCTACACAGGACCGTGCCTGGCCACCGTCTCCAGCCTGTCCTCCCCACCTCTTTGCTCCACACAGCAACTACACAGACATCTGCAGCAGGTTTCTCCCAGGTCCCCTGCAAGGCAGATCAGAGCAACTATTGTGCTCTAACGCTACGTATGTGTGAACCTCCAAGAAACACCGTTGAAAGCGGCAGGGACAATGCTGTGGGTTTTCATACCAACATGAGAATCTGCCAAGGACCCATCTCCGCAGACGCCGGCTGCCTCACAAGAGCATCTGGCGCAGAGTCTGCACAGGACAGATGGAGACGGGAGCTGTTTATTCACACAGAAGCAGTCTGGCTCCCTCCCATTTGGTAGGTGTTCTCAGCAAATTTTGGTGGTGTCTCAAATTCCTTACCCAGGGCTTTAAAGCTTTTGTCTCTGGCCAAGCATCGGCTGAATTCACTCCAGCTATTTCCAGGAGACTCTCTGAGAAACACGTGTGCGCGCTTCGTGATGCCAAAGGCTGCCGGCAGGAGAAGAGCAGCAACACCCGGTCACAACGCTGGACCACGACCGCAGCACCGGAGCAGGCCCAGCACTGCTTGGGGTCCAGACCACCCCCAGTGCCTCCAGCTCCAGCTTTAGGAACGTCAGTAATTAGCAGATTGCCCTGCCTTGGACTCCCAGAGCAACCAGACCCAGCAAACCTGACCTGGACCGCAGAGCAGCATATCTATCGGCCTTGGAGACAGTGATGCTGTGGCTGCCCAGGCACAGTGGGCTTGCTCCGTGGCCACAGCAGTCCCTGCAGCAGGACCGGCCTTGGCCAAGCCTGCATCCCGCCCAGCTCCAGTGGAGCCCAACAGAAAGGAAGAGCCAAACTCAACCCCCCAGGGGCTGCAGAGCTGCTCTGTGCAGTGTGCTCTGGCACTGACACTGGTTCCCAGCCTCCCTGGGAACGTGAGGACGGTGCACGTTGTGAGCACCACCCTGCTAAATCCTCCTATTTCCAGCTTTTGACAGCCACAGCCGCCTCCTCTACACGCACGGTTTGAACAGAAAGCAGCCCGCAGCAAAGCCCGGCTTGCAGGACAAGGTCACGCCGAGAACCACAGACCTGAACCGGGGGATGCTTGTGAGCAAGCAGCCTTCACCCAAATACACTTGCCATCAAACCAGCGTCTCCACCTTACCGATCAGCCGGAAGGACACGGACTCTGGGCCATCAGCAGTCACCTGCTGCCAGCCCCAAGGACAGAAATCCCAGCTTTCCCTGCCCCCACTGCAGGTGCAGGGCACAGTGTGCCCACGGGAGCCTGCAAGACACCGCCAGGCACCCCGAAACACCCCATCTATACATCCGACACGGGGGTCTGGGGGCATGGTACCTGTTGCGTTGGATAGATGGCAAACCGCCCCTCAGAGCAATGGGGGGACCCCAGCAGGGGAGGCAGCCATGCTGGCCAAGTACTGCTCCCGGGTCCATGCGACCCCTCCAGCCATCCAGGCTGCTCTCCAGCGGCTGCAGGGGCCCCCGCAGCCAGGGCTGGGGCAGAGGAAGGTTCATCCACCACAGGCAGTGGCTG